TTTTTTTTTTTTTTTTTCATCGATCGCCAAAGAAACTGCTCACACGTATATGTATGACACGCGAGATTATCTTGGAATGCATTCTCCCTCCGTGTAAAGAATATATAATGATTGTAATTAATATATGTGTTATCATGTATATAGTGCTCGCCAGATATGTAAATAATATTATATGTGATTTAATTACACATTATTATATGTGCGTAAAAATCTTGTAATATATAAATTGTATAATTTTATAGGTGGTGATATTTAGTTAGACGAGATGAGACAACAAATTATTAAAGTTCTTATGTTTTACTTTCAATGTTATCATTACGAATCTATTAATTATTATACACATTTTAATTACTTTTAAAATATCGCGCGAATGAAATTTTCAGCCCGATTCATTAATTTATCACCGTATTTATCACCGTCTTTCTCTCTCTCTCTCTCTTTATGCAACTTACACTCGATATAGATTTATTCGAATCTGTTCAACTCCATCCCACGTCAGAAGGCATCCTCAAAGGATTTCTCAAAGTAACACATTGATATATCTACATTTAACATGTCTGTAATAATGTGTTGGTTTGCACGTCATTGATGATTCTTTCGAGATACGTATGCATTGTGCATATGCAGTTGAAGGCATTGCGTCAATTCGCATTTACGATTGAATGAAAGAGTAAACCATGTAATTTTCTAATACTTATTTCGCGCACATTGCGTCTTAAAAATTAAAAATATTTTATTTTATTCAGAGTATTGACCGAAGAAGGATATTCGTGGAATAATTTTGATATTTCTGAGATATTCTATCTGAGATAGTGTACATATGTATCTATTATAATACAGATTCAAAGATGACTTTGATATATCTGTATAATAATAAATAAATGTATCTCGAGTTCAATGTGGATTTCGATTTATCTCGTACACAATTGAACATACACAATTAAATCCTTTTTATATACAATATAAGCATAAGATAACCTAAGTAAATCGTAGGGGTGGGATGCGATGGAAAAAACATTCGTACAATTGCTTTTAAGCGGCTTTATTGATTCTGGGTCTAATGGAATGTAAATGCGGAGTTATTCGAACGAATGAGAAAGGGATGAAGAGAATGAACCGCGGAGAAACAGAAATCCGTGGTTAATTTTTGAAAAAGATTTCGTAGGCGTTGATCATCGATCGATCGATTTGTGAGGTGTGTCGATGGAAATTGGTCCTTAATCTCCTGAATGCCTGGTCCGGTGCTTAGACGATTAGGCCAGTCGCGTAACTCTTATACGCGTACGGTAAGGCCGGGTATGCCGAGTACGCGCTATAAGTCGGTAGGCTGTATGCGCTGTAAGCTAATGGTGCGGAAACGATGGGAGCACTGTAGGATGTCACAAGTGGAGCGCCGATAATCGCCCCGGGTGCCGGTGCCGGTGCTGGCGCGGGCGCCGGTGCCGGCGCAGCCGCGGCGAATGCCAAAAAGGCCAACAAACACAACTATAATCAATTACAATGACATTCAATTAACATTACGATATTGTTGCAAGTAGTAGTAATAATAGTAGTACGACATTGTGTGTAAATGATAATAATAAAAGATACATTCGCTCTCTCTCTCTCTCTCTCTCTCTCTCAGGAAATGAAAGCAATCCTCAGATGGCCGTCTCAACAGGAGAGATGAGACGTACCTTACATTTGTTATTCAATTTTTAATAACTCTCATCGTAGAATTAATTTAAATTTAAAATTCGTTTCTCTCCAGGCATTTATATAAAATAAATAACTGAACAACAAGTTAGAATTCTTTCGCGTATCTTTCTCGGAGATGGAAATGAATTTGCAATAGTTTAGCATCGTAAAAATTGCAAATGTATGAAGCAAAAATTATTCGTATATATCAAGTGAGAATTAATAGTGTACAATATGAATTCTATATTTGTGCAATAAATCGAATTTTCCATGGAAAAATTCATGTACGTATTTCGATCTAGCTACGAATCGAAAAATAATACGATGCGAATAACAAAATATATGAGTATATAATGCAAATAATTTTTCTAGAAAGCAGTAGTCCGACCGATGTTCTAGTAATCGATAGAAAATAACCAAAACAGAGTATGTGAACATACACAAATTTAACACGTGCACTGACGCGTTTTCACATATCTGCTTTGCAACTTTTTCACGCGCTCAATCGTTATCTATAATTCATTCCGCCATTTTTCATCAAGACAATGAAAAATAGGACAATATTTGGCCGGACTCTTGTTTATCCTAGAGGCACTATAAGCTGCAATTATGAGACTTGGAACTAAACACACATGATGCACCCTGCAGTCTAGTCTGCAGTGTAGTATATGTATAATAATTGAAACTATACTATCTTCTCGATAGAGAAACAGGGAGACAAAATAATTGCAAAATAAATAAATAAATAAATAAATAAATAAATAAATAAATAAACGGATATATAATACTATATGTAGATATAAATCTCGCTGAAATCTTAATTGACTTACCAGTTTGAACATCTTGGAGCTCGTATATGTCTGGCTTGCAGTCAGTACGATAATACTCGAAAATACGACATATCTCGTCTTATATAGGAGCAAGCAATCCCTCGGCCTCCACCTCCCTTCTCTCTTTTGCGTTTTCTTAACGCACCTTCGAAGAGGGCGTCGCCTCGTCTCAAGCAGAAAACGAACGTGCGCTAGGCCGCGATTTCTTCTTTTTCCGTTTCTTCCTTCAGTCGCGGATGTCGACAACCAATGGAGCTTTGTGTGTTGCGCGGACATACATTAAAATATAAGGGGGGTAGGGACGCGCGTGATGATTCTTCAAGGTCCTCCATGACGGCCAGGCGTGGTCAGACTACTCTCCTTTTCTGTCTCGGATGCCAAAGGGAGTACATATATACAAGCTACAACAGCTTCTCAACAAACAAACCTGTTATACATATGTCGTAAAAAGCGCTACCTGACTCATCTACGGTAAGTGATTAACAGGTGTGTGATAGCATTTTTTAATTAGGTCAAATTTACAATGAATTTTCTATTTTACCAATAAATCTGTATATTAAATTTTATTATATATATTCCATACTCTCTCTATAAACAGATATCTCTTCTGAAAGAATTATATACAGATTATACGATTAAAATATTTCTATAATCCTATTTAGTTAATAAAATTCTTTACTAATTGTCTATGTATAACAGATTTAAGGACTCTGCTAATGTTATTGTAACAAGTACAAAAGTTTCGAATCTTACAAATTTTAGAAATCGACAAGCTTCACGTAACGTTTTATTGCGCCCTTATTAATCTGTTTATCTGTTTATTTTAGATTTAACTCGTTGCGAAAAATATTTCTCCAAATAACGATAATATATTGATTAACATATCTAAAGATATCATTGTATATTATAATTTATATTCATTTTTTCATACGTATAGCTTTGCAGATATTATCTGCGACATTGCCTATTCATCGATGTCCGGATCTGGAAGGGACCTTTAAAAATTATTTTGCGACTTAATTAACGGTAGGACTCGTAGAAGAGCATTTCATGTACGTTCACGCCTACATGTCGATTTGATCGCTTCAGAGAAGCGGCCTCGTTTGCTTTGAGCCTTTGGTAAGCGCCGTTTCCCAAACATTCACCTATAAACTTCAAATTTATTAAGAATCAATCATGTCTCTCTCTCTCTCTCTCTCTCTCTCTCTCTCTCTCTCTTCCTCCTCTTGTTCATTTTAGGGTAAGCTAAACACCCCCGTCGAAAATTTTACAAGTTGATCGATAAAGGCGATTCTTCTTTTGTAACAATCACGTCAACTCATGTATGACGTCATTAAATTTTAGAAGAGACTATCCGGATATCTCCGTACTTTTATTTATATAAAGATATAGCAGTAATGCGAGAGAATGTCAAGAATAGTCAAGATGGAAGTGCACGTTTGCGTTATACGCAAAAAAATACAAGTTTATTATACATAAAAAAATACATTGCTTCTATTCGAAAAAGTTGATTTTACAAGTTGTATTTATCTAATTTTAATTAATTTTTTCTAAACAGCAACAGAGATTGAAATATTTATAATATACGCAAGGACACTGTACCATCATAGCTTTTAATCTTTGAAAAGAAGTATTCATCTGTGATTGCTATTTTATTGCGATTGTGAATTTGATAATCGCACAATTTCTACGTAAAATAATAAAATAGTTACTGACATACTATAAATAAATTAATATGATATATATTAATTAATAATATATATCCATCTCTCTCACAATTATCCTCGCCAATGTCTCACGAATTTCAATTATTTATATTGTTATTTATTTTTCGATCTTGCCGATCAACCTGATGTATTGCCAATGCATGGATTACTCAATTACTGCATGCAAGATTACGTAAAGGCACGTGTGTGTTGTCCAATTGACAAATACATTTCGACAATTATATTCGTTTTGGTGGGAGTCGAAGGAGAATCGAGATAACCGTTTACCCTTGGTCTTTTAATGTCACGAGTAGGTGTCGATTCACTTTCGACAAGTTTTATCGATTCATTTTATGTGTTCGTATAGAGGTGCCGTAGGGGGAACAAAATTATCGTTTATACATTTCAATTTCCTTTAGAGAGAGTTAAATCTATCATTAGTTTTGCATATATTTATTTCTATTAATCTCTTTAATACATTTTCCTCTAGCTTGTTTTATAGCGTTACAAAATAAAACGTTATCAATTTCGTATTTTTTTTTTTTTATCAAATGTCGAATATTAACAGAAAATAAAAATTAATATAACATTGTCCATATTATAAATATAAAGCACACGTAAATCTAGCTGCAGTCTGCGTACGTGTGTTTCGTTGACAAAAACGCTTAGTGTGTTTTTGTTCTTGGTATACAATTTTCCATGTGAATATTCGAGAAGCAAGTCAAAGAAAGCGAAAAATAAACTCTCATAATTCCGTCATACGAATTAACTGTTAACACATAATCATAAAATATTATGCAAATATACATATATATAAATATATTGTATATGTATATAAAGTATTTTATTGTGTATTGTGTGAACATCTTTAGTGCTGCCATCGACGCTATCATGTCAGATTAATTTATATATATATATATATACATATATAAAGCGCAATCAATTATATTTAAAAGAGGTTCAATTAAAGATGGTAAAAAATATCTATATAACAAAAAAATTAATATATATATATATATTTTTTAATATTTTCGATATACTTCAGTTAGCAGGATTTCATCAGACTAACCAAAAGCAACATGACGTTTAACATATTATTGATCATATCGTATCTGAAGAGGGAAAGATCGATCGATCTATATAATTTCGAGTAGACGAGCATGTAGGGCCGATCAAGGCGGCGGCGTTTCGCAGCACGCGGGTAGACTCGACGAACTTGAACTTGAGAAAAAATATGCGGGCATCGCCTTGAAGTTCTCTCCGTTGGCTGATGAGATCCGGTTGACTAAGCGGGAAAGAGGGGGACTGGAAACCAAAACAGGACTGACCGTATTGAGAAAATTATACTAGCAGAGGCCACGCGACGTCGACGATCTCGAACGACAAGCGAACGAGTTTCGCTCTTCCTCCCTCTCTCTCTCTCTCTCTCTCTCTCTCTCTCTCTCTC